CCGCGGAGCTGCCCCTGCCGCTCGTCCTTCTGCAGTCACCTCGGGTGAACCGCGAAGCGCCTCGCMAGGGGCGTCCAGTTACCCGCTCACCTGCACGGCGAGAAACGCTCTTCTGACTAGTTTGTAACTGTTGATTTGGGTGCTTTACGTGCTGCTAGCTATATAATAAACATTTATTTCCTCTTTGCTTTTTCTTTTCTTTTTTTTTTTTTTTTCTTACACTGCTTTTTTTTTGTTTTTTTTTTTTCTAGCTATATAATAAACATTTATTTCCTCTTTGCTTTTTCTTTTCTTTTTTTTTTTTTTCTTAAACAGTGCTTTTATTTGGTATCATCTGTTTGTGCAAACTTTTAGCTGAACAACATGATTTCTCTATTCTGTGCCTCCCAGAGCTGTATGACATTCCTAGCGTCCATTAATGCTACAGCAAGAACATCCTGAGTCCTTGGTCACTCCTTGGTCAGCTCCGTGGAACAGGAATGATTTATTTAAGAACGGCAATAGCAGAAAGGCCTCAGTCACTGCTGCATGGTCCAGAAGTTGTAGAAAAAGCTGTGTGGGGAAATACTCCAGCACACTGCAAGGAGGGAAACAAGCTGGATTTTTTTTTTTTCCTACGTTCGTTGTGCATGCCTTTGCTGAATTGAGCGTGTATGGAAGGCACTGTGCTASTGCAGGAGGAGTGGTCATATGGATAAGATTTTAGGCATCAGGAGCTTAGGGCACATTTTGTAACCTTGTTTGTCAGTCTAAATGTGACTTGTGTATAAAACATTTTGCTCATCATTTGTCTTTGTAGAATGCCTGTTATGTTATGTTGCTGTGTTCATACTGCTAATAATCAAACGCAACTTTTATTTTTCCCTCCTTATTGATTAGTTGCTGAAATAAGATACCTCTGTCCACCCTATGCTAACTGTTGACATGGAAAACAAGGAAAATGGCGCTCTGGATGTCAAAAAGTAAGTGAATCCATAGTATTTACTTTTTGTAATCTGCATATGGAATTGGATTTTACTATTCATTTTACTTAATGTGGTTGGCAATGGTGGATACCTCCATCTCTCCTTGTCTTGAGGTTTCCCTGTTCTCAATTATTTTTTTTCTATTTCAGCTTTGAAATAGAAGAGTCTTTGACAATGAATTGATTGAAGGGGGGGTTGTGGGGAGGCTGGATAGCAATGGAGAGATGCAGAAGCTAKAAACAAGTTGGAGAGATTCCTTTGAGTTGGCCTTTCAGCAGAGCGTGGAGTACGTCGTGCTGTAGGCAACGTTCCACCTCCGCTCAGCTTCCTGCTGATTTGAGGGAAGCTGCTGCCACCATCCAGTTTGACTGGAGAGGTGAAATGCCTCAGCGAAGGGGAAGCAGCAAAGCAAGTGGTGCCTGAGGAGTTTAAAGGGCTTTTTACTTCTAGCTAGTGGCTTTTGCAGAGGCAGTGCCAGGGGAGAAGAAACGTCCAGTGTGGAAGTCCTCTTCTCTTTGTCCTTTTCAAAGAGAGACAGATGCTTTTTCCTGGTGATTGGCCTGCCATCCGGTGCTAGGCAGCAGCAAATCTGAAATGGATATTCTAAACTGTCTGCTGAAAAACCCRTATCCTGCTGAGTTTTAATCCCAGGTGCCTGTGGTGGAAATAAGACAAAGCGCCCTATAATACTCTTCAGAGTGGTGGGCTGCTTGCTAAGGGGTAGAAGCTGTTTTTGGAGGAGTTTCTGTRTTCCTGCAAAGCTGCATCTTGTTCTTCTCCTTCAGGTCTCTTTGCCACAAGCCTTACAAGAAAACTTAGCAATGCCTGGACCCCTTGGTGATAGCGTAATGTAAACAATGATAAAAATAATGACTGTTTTAGGATACTGATGAAGCACCTGATTATGACATAGCATCAAAAGATCTGCTGACAGTCATTAAAATCACTGTATTCTCCCTTCACTTGAGTCACTGGTTATACCACACCAATGTAAAATGCATTTGCCTATTCAGTGAAAGTAGGTAGATTACACTGTGCCTGTCCCTCAGAAGCCACCTTCAATTAGCAGTCTTGTTTCTATAGTTGGGACTCGAAGCAGGGAAATAGTTGAGGCAAGGACAGCTTATGTTTAATTATTTTCCCCTGAGGCTTAGGTGATAAAGGCTCAACTACTAATTGTGAAGGTGGCTTTTTAAAGCTGATGAGGAATGTAATTAAACTGAACAGAAGCTGTGGTTTCAAAACGAGCATGTAATATGTACATGCACATATCTACAAAACAAATATTTGGTCCTCTCTTCATGTGATTATAAATAGGTTGGATAAAAGCTGTTTCTTCACAGCCATATCCTACCAGACCTTGCTGCTTCTGCCACATGATGGCAATAAAGGCACAGGGACAGTGGTGAAAAGCAGGCAAGCCAAATCTATTCATAATCAGTGCAACTGGTATATGGTTGCACAGCCTGAGATGCCAGCCCTCTTACAATTTTGCAGCATTCAGGATATCTGGCATAAAGAGGTGCATGGTTAAGTTATGGCTCTTCTAAATTCATTTTTTTTTTTTTGTTTAAAGAGTGTGCAACAACAGGACAGGGGGGAGACTGCCGAAGTGTAGAAGCCAGAAGATGATCTGTGGGCATAGGTGGGTTAAAACCCATTCCAAAGTCTGCAACATGCCCTTGAGTCTGCCCTTGCAGTTATAGCTGTGGAAATTGGCTCCACTTGAGGTTCAGCATGACTGTATTCCTTGAGACAGGAACTTGCAGTTATTTCCTGGGATTAGTCTATGGCAGAGCCCATGAAGTCATTGCAATTGGGCCTGGGATGGGGCTGGTTTGGTCTGCACATTTCTTTGTGCTAGAAGAGCTACATGAAGAATCAATACACTTGAGGTGAAATACAGAACTGTGAAAGAGAAGGTTTGAGACCATAGCTAGTTGGAGATTAAATGCTTTGGGAAGTATGCTTTCTTACTGCTGAATTGTTGGGATCTTTTTGTTTATTTTTAATTTAAATAGGAAATGAGGCATTCAAAATGATAGAGTRTGTTTTAGGAATGCCTATCTTATGCAAAGTTTTAAACACAATTTTTTAAACTCTGCTTCAATAAGCATGTGTAGATTTTGTGCAGTTCACAGCACATTTTACTTTTAAGCCTTAGAACAGGAGCAACACCAGAAATTGAAAGGCATTCTTTTGATTTAAAAAAACAAMGGGGGGGGGGGGCAGAGCACAACTCTCATAAGGCTAGAGAGTCAGATCTCTAGACTGTTACTTTCCGTAATTGCAATCAGTGAAGCAGTTCATGAAGTAGGGTATTATTTGATATGTAAAAATAAAAAACTGTGGTCCCCAGCTCATTATTCTCAAATGTGTGTGTATTCTGGGGGTAAGTGGAAGTTACAGTTTTCAGAAGGCTAATTGCAGCGTGAGGTGCAATACCTATGTCTCCATGTGAGCCTGTAGGGCAAGATTTTCTTGCCATATTCCATGGTGCACTCCAGTGTTTAGGGGAGACATGAACGTCAGTGTGCTGATGTTCTCTGTCACAGATTTAGCTAGTCACAGAAATTGTCATTTTTATAGAAATCAAGTGACTCCTTTGAGTCTGCTCCTTTCTCATCATGGCTGGTGGAAASTGAGGGGCCCTTGATTCACTTAGATTTTTACTGAAAATTGTACTTTATAAAACTTTTCTGAATCACAATGACGTGCCATTATTTCTTAAGGGCAGAYGTTTACAAAGCCTAGCCAACACAGAGGTGATAGCAGGAAAGAAAAATTTGAAGGGTAGAAAGAAAGGAGCTGTCAGGAGGCTACTGCCTGTTCTTGTCCTCCAGCTGTTACTGCTGAGAATCTAAGTCCTATGTCTAAACTTCAGGACATGAAATGGGCAGAACCCTGACATCTGCCCTGGTGTGCAGTCATTTGTTGTTTCATCATTAGCACTACAGTTAAGCACTCATGATAGTGGAAATTATCTGGGATGAACTTRAAGATGAAATGGGATGTCCAGTTGGGGAAGCATCTTCTAGTTGTTTATTCTGGAAGATGCCTTGCTCTTCCCGCCAGTAAATCAGTCAGGGAAAGCAGTTAGATTTCACTGTGTGTATTTCTCACYAAGAATTTGCAAATACACAAAGGTTATCTGAGATACCAAATCTGAAATAGAAAATGGCAAATTGAGGATAAGGAATGCAGGACAAGGATAAGGATAGCAGAAATGGTTGTGACAACAACAGTTGTTTCTGCTACTATGCAAAGCAATTACCTGAGGTCAATCACTGAAAGRCTGTGTTTAACAGCTGTTTTCTGGGATTAATAGCCGTTTAAAAACTCCATAGATTTGTCCAAAGAGGAGTCCAAAACCAGTTTTGGAAAATATTTTATTTTGAGCTATGAGTGCAATCATTGTGGTTCTGTTTTTTTCCAGTAGTTCCTACCAATGTTACAAAGAAGTACTATGTCATCTGGAAAAACACTAAGCCACACACTGCGCTTTTTTTTTTTTTTTTTTTTTTTTTTTTTTTTTTTTTTTTAATATTTGGTGGCTAAAACCTGAGGTCTTGAAGGGCTGGGATTCAGCATCTTAGACAACGTAGTCTTTGTCCAGCTGCAAAAGCAGCCTCTCCACAGATGAAAATTGTGACTGATTACTTTTAGCTGACATGAAGATTTCTACATTTTCTTCTTTTGTGAAAAGAGAGGTACCTCATTTGTCCCATGTCAGTGTTTGAAATGGAAGAGAAGAGGCGTGACTGGTCTGTCTCTTGGGGATCTCAAAGGATACTCTTCCTGGGGAAGTGGAAAGGGAGAGGATGTGCATGGGTTGTGTGTGAAGAAGGAACTGCACATACTCTGCACATATTTTAGTGATTACTCATCTGGATTTGCATTTTGCAGCTCAGTAGAGAATGGGAGATCTCCAGACCCTGCTGACTGGGCTGTTATTGATGTGGTGAATTACTTCAGAACAGCAGGATTTGAGGAACAAGCCAATGCTTTTCAAGAACAGGTAAATCCATTAGGAAACATGCAGTCACCTTCAGCTGTCACCACCTTCTCACACTGCACGTTTTTTGCAGTTGACGTGATAATTTGGTTAGTGTATGATGAGGTGTTGTAAAAAACCTTGAAAGTCGCTGTTAGGAGCTGAAAATCCATGGGACTGCTGTGATCTTTTAGTGACAATATTACTTCACAAGATGTGATTAGCGAGATGAAAATGTAGTATGTATTTGAAGTACTCACCTGAAAGCTGAAGAATCTAAACAAACTTTCTGGCCTCGTTTCAGACTATACAATTCATTCAGTTCCACTGTTTCGTTTTTTCAAATAGAAGTGGTAATTCTGTTCTTCCTAAGTGTGCTGTGCAAATACGCTCATGAGTTTATAAAATACTGGGATTGCAAAAGCAGCAATTTACTTTTGAAGAACACGGATGAAAAAGGGCTGCTGTGTCCCATTGGCTTAGCAGTGCAAGCAAATAGGGAAAGAACTTGTTGATAAGGGCAGGGGGAAAATCTTTCTTTGCACTGGAGCAGAATGTTTGCAGGACTYCAAGGGAAAAGGTCAGGCCTTTTTAGGGCTTGTGGGAGGGAGGAAAAAGAGACCCAGTTGGTGCTTTAAAGCATGAGTAAGATCTGGAGAGTCTGTTTCCTGCAGTGTATCTATGAGCTGAGAAGTTGTTGTGAACTGGAGAACGCCTCCCTGTTTTCTATGGAAAATYTTCCCCCATCTGCCTTTTCTGATAAAATGAAGTTACCAGAGGGAAGTCAGTCAAAGCTACRGACTGCCTTCCACAGAAAATATTGGCTGATATGCTGCCTTTTCCCRCAAGTTGCTACCTTTAAATGTAGCCTTTGTGGTGTTCATCACAGGGATAGCTGTGGCCGTGTGTGTGTGTGGTCTCTCTTTGTCTCAGTGTAATAGAAGTGGTCTCCACTACAGCTCRTGTTAATGGATAGATGGTTTTCTGGCAGTTTTGGACAGTATGGATCTTAACAATTTTATGGCTTCTTGTGGCTGGCCTACCAGCCTGTAAGTAAGGTATGTTAGTGGGGCAGGATGGGAAAGTGCTTGCTTGCAGCAGCTRTCTTCCACAGAGAGAGGAAGGTTACATCTCCACATCCTTCACTCCAGCATCATCCCTGAGACCATAGATTTGCATGTAGGAACCAGGAAATTGGTTACCAATGCTTGTATTTTGTTACCAAAATAATTGGCCTGCCCTTTCAAGCTGCTGAGTCAGTGCAAGTTATTGACAGCTCTGCAGCAAAGCAGTGCATCTGAAGTGAAATCMAGTTAGCTCTTTTTCAGGTTAATCTTGCTGACCTTCAGCACCTGGATAATGAAACTAGACCTGATTGTATCTGATGAGTGTAACAGTATCTAAATTGAGCCCTTTGTCCTGGGCCAGGAGCTGTCCGGTAATTCTCTGGAAGACAGAGATGGGTAAACAAACAAAAAGTAGTTTAAGTGTATACATTCACTAGTACCAGCATTCATGTTTCTTTAGCAGCACCAGAGAGTGCCTTAAGACTTTTAAGAAAGACACACACCAAAAACAAACAAACAAACAAAAAAACCCTTCCTCCCCCCCCCTTACACTGGCAGCAAGGTGAGGCTGGCACAGGAATGTTGCAGAGCAATTTGCAACCGCTGGGTGGAAGGCAGCAGAGATGTGGAACGTACGTGTCGATAGTGCCCTGCAATGAGGGCTAGTGGCTTTAGGAGGGCAGCCGAAGTAAGGTTCTTTTGAGCTACGTTGCTGGGACTCTTCTAAGACTGTTCATCCTTCACACCATTGCTGAGCAGCAAAGGCAACTTTAGATCAGGCTTAAACGTGAACAGAATAGTCGATAGTGTTGCAATTTCCATAAAAAGTTTTTGACAAATGGAAGAGGGAGAATAGAAACTTTCTAACTATTAACATTCTCAACAGTAATTGGAAGGAGGCATCTGTCATAATTGGGTAAAATATTATTGACTTTTTTTAGAAATGCTATGTTATATTGTGCTCTAAGGTTTTAAAGAAATTCCACTTTCACTTGATCTTTGACTATAACAAGCGTTTTTTATGCACTTTGTATTTATAATTTTTAGCAAATGATATAGATCAGTTTGGGCAAATTAATGCTAAACTAGTAAGACATATTAGGATGATTTGTGACATTTGTGAGAGCAGTTAATGTTCGTAASGTAGATGTTGCAGTAGGATAAACTGATGTGGGATGGTTTTATATATTGCTTATTAAAATGACATAAGTCTTAAAATACAAAATCTGGCAGTATAGTTTGATAGATGACTATATTGTAATAGACAACTACCTTATATGCAAGCAGTTGAACTGCCTGTTTCCTATTGCTATCAAATTCAAAATCGTGTTTTGCATGTTTTATTTTTGTTTATTTTAAAGCCCCAAGATCAAGTGCAGTGCAGGAGAGCACCATAAGGCTGTGTGCTGTTTTGGGCTCTGGTGACCTTGGCAGGAGGGGCCGTGCAGTGATGCACCAGCTGTGCCCTGTTCTGTAGGTGTAGCTCATGCTTTCTGGGTGGCGTAGCGTGACTCAACTGGAGAGCTGTGTAAAGACAACAACAGTCCCACATCTGAAAATAAAGGTGGCAGCTGAGATATGTGTGTTTTTAGTCTTGCTTTTTGATCTTGGAAAACTCACAGTTGATTTGTGACAGTATGACAAGGTTTTGAGATGGAACCTCCCCCCACCCCCCTCCCAAAGCCAGCAATTTCTACTCTAACTAGGCCAGAAGGCTGGGATCTGAGAGAACAAGTGTGTTATCTGTGATTTAAAGGTGGGAAATTTTAAATGCAAACAGGCAGAGGATGTTGAGACCCGTGCTGGAAATGTGCTCCTTCTTGCTTCTGTTGTTGTCAGTGGAGGAAGAGAAGTTCCCCCAGAGGGTGAAATTCCATAGTGGGGCTGTCTTAAGATTTTTGGATTGCAGGAATCTGCAGGAAGGAGGCACGTGAAGGGTAGCCTGCTAAAATAGGCACCCAGAGATGTCAGCAGGTAATGACAAGACTAGTCCAAACTTGCATATTGCTGTCAATGGTAATTCTTCTGACATTGCAGTTCAGTGTTTTCTCCCTAAGAACATCTTTCCCTTTATGATGGATAATTAGGCAATCTGTACCTATTAATYTGAAACAGATTTAAAAGGAGAGAGTTTTCAAGTGAGGCAACCTCAGGTTTTGTGCTTGACTAAATAGCATTTGTGCTTAGCACAGATGAGCACTTGAAAGCCAGCCTATTAGCAGAATTTAACAATTAAAACATTAAATTTTAGAAAAACAAATGTTACTGTGTTTTTCATAGCCCCTCCATAGTAGTCTTCCATTTGTTGCATTACTGTCTCACCTGTTAATTTCCACATTGTATTCATCAGCTCTTTAATTCTTCTTATAGGAGATTGATGGCAAATCGTTACTGTTGATGACAAGGAATGATGTGCTGACTGGACTTTCATTAAAACTGGGCCCTGCGCTGAAAATCTATGAATATCACATAAAGCCTCTACAGACACAACATCTAAAGTACAACTCTTTATAGCGAATTGTCTAATAGGGGTCGTGCCTCAAACAGTAAATAAGCAATTTGGTTTCATGTGGTGGAACTTTGTAAAGAGAGAATATATCTATTAAGAGTTTAAACCAAATTACAATGATATATATCCTATTGGATAGAGTTGGCAATATACTGTATACTAAGTCTGAACTGAGAGAGGTGGTGTGTGTTTTTTCCATGGTGCGTAACAATTTTCTCTTTTAGGATTTGTCAGAGCGCCTGTTGAGATAGCTACAGCACTGTATCGAGAGCAAGAGGAAGCTGTGGTCCTTCTCATTTTAGAGCCAGGCATGTTTCTGTTTTCATGAATTAGAATACCAAAAGGGAGCAAAAATAAAGTTTACATGCATCTTTGGGAGCGAGAAACAAATAAAAGTATGTTCTGGTGCACATTAAAGACCTACTGAAGTTATTACTACTTATGATTTTGGGATGGGACTGAGACTTGCCAACTCACCCTTTTTTTGCAGAGGGTCCTATTTTTGACCTTATTAAGGTTTACTTGTGGTATGCTGCAATGTTTAAAGCTGTATATACAACTAACATAGCCCCTTCGATAGCAGAAGGCGTTGCTGACAGGTGAAACTGGGTTGTGTATTTTTTGCTGTCCTTTAAWTTTTTTTCTTGCTTTTACCCGTTTTATAGTAGTTCTATGTAAAGTACAGTTGGCTTTTAAAAGTTTGTGTTGCTTTACAAAACTAAAGAATTTCATTTTATTCCTTTTTTATTTTTAATAACTGTTTTCTAACATTATGCAGAAATTTATAAAAACAAATAAAGAGTAAAATTCTGCACATTATTGTTGTCTGTCATGGTGTTGTAACAGTTGCTTTTTTTTGAACCTTTACTTACAGTTTGAATATTTGTTTTAAAAAACTGAAAGAAGCTGTCTTGTCACCATACATCTCTGTTAAAAGAGAGTCTTGTTCAGTCTGTTTGTACCAGTTCCCTATTTGATAGGTTGCTTGCTGTATCCCAATAAAACATTGCTTATGTTTGGATTCATTTTACTTTACAGTTTTCTTACTTTCTCTATTTCTTTGTTGCAGAGCATCAGGGATTCCTTTTCTTCCCCCCCCCCTTCATTTTCTTATTAAAAAGGTACCAAAAATGACTTAATATGGTATGTTCTTGTGATTACTGATAACTCCCTCAGCCATGCRCTTACCGGTTCAGTGGATTTGCTTTTGCTTAGGCAGTGCTGAGGGCAAGTCCAAAGCCCTGGCTGCGGCTGCCAGGGACTTGGGTGCTTCTCTTCCCCTCTGCTGGAGCTGCTGCCCAGGAGAGGGACCCTGCAGGTGCAGCTTGGCCTGGCCAGGCTCGGCATCGTCTCTGGGCTTGTGTCCATRGAGTGGAGCGGAGGAGCTGGGAAGCAGCAAACCACAGGAGAGGTGRATGTGGAAATGGGGTGTGAGGAGATGTGAGGAGATGTTGCTAAGATGGGAGAGGAGACAAGTGTGCAGCACTGTCTGCCCCGGGGCGCGAAGGGTGGCTCAGTGCGGCGAGGCAGAAGCTCCTGCGATCCTGCCCGAGTGGCAACTCCAGCACAAGTGCAAGGTGTGGGTGCTGCAGTGCCAGGGGAATTGCTTATCATTTCTTGTGTTGAGATTTGGGAGAGGATAAAACCACGTTAACAGCTGAGCTGTAGGTAAAGCTCACAGTGAGCTACATAATGCATAAGCTGTACCTCAATGTGCTTTCTTGTATAGCTCCTGAACATTACACTGCCTTGTATGCTCCATTTGGAATTTGAGACTCGTGGTAGGAGGCAGGGATATTTTCTCTGCTCCTCCCTGTCCCTTGTACTGTATCAATTTCTAGACATCCGTCTGTTAGCAGCAGGTTTGTGTGTCGTAGTCTGTGTTCTGCCTATGACTCTATCTATAGTTTGTTGGTGTCCAGGAATACCTGCTGGGAGCAGGGATCTTCTGGAAGGCTTGGTTCAAACAGAGAGATGGGAGTTTTCAAGTACARTCTGTATCTGACTGGTTACAGGGTGTAACTGAAAATCTGTATGTGAAACTTAAATCTTTTAATATTTAGATTTGTTTATGGAAAGGATGATGTGAAGCAGCTGTCTGCAGCAGTCAGCAGACCCCTACCAGCCCTGTATTCCTGGCATTGTTGGAGTAAATTACTTAGTACTGCATTACTGAAAGATGAATTGAATAGCCTCTTTTTCTCCATTTGTTTGGGGTGGTAAAGACACTTCTTGTAAATCTATGAATTATATAGAATTATAAGCAAAAAATATTTGTTCCATCAGRAAGTAAAAACCTTCACTGTATAAGCCCCGAGGGCTCATTTGGCAATTACTGAGCACTGCACTTTTTTTTACCATGTTTTAATGAGCTGAAGAATTGGATTCAGAAACCTCCAGATTGTATTCCTCTTTTGATCAGCGCTGCTAACTGGTTCATGCAAGCAGAGGCATAACCGAAAGCTCGCTGTAATCCTGAAAGGGAATTTGAAGGATTTTATGCAGACAGAGCCTTTTCTCTAATCTTCCCCCCCACCCCCCCAAATCTTCATTGTGGTGTCCTATTGTTATTTGRGCTTTCTAACACTGCCATTCTTTTTGCGCAGGTGACCATCCTGGTTTTGTCCGTTACTTTCTCCTTGCTGTTTCTGGGAGGAAAAAAAATCTTTTTAAAACAGATTGAGTGCTTTGAAAGAGGAAGTCGAAGCCAGGTTATTTTTAGCTGCCATTCCTCATGCGGAGAACGCAGCTGCTGCTGAGCTGAGGAAGCGGCTGATGGGCATGACTGGATGCTGCGGCCGTGCCGCAGCTGATAGCGCAGAGCTGTGCAYGGCGCCGAGGTAACGTGTGCCCTCAACCCTGCAAGAGGGAGACGGCCCTTTCCTTAAAAGCCATCCCTGGGCTCCCGTGGCGGCTGGTTAAGCTGCCAGCGGGCACGTGAGCGAGCACAGGGTCAGCAGTGCAGCTCTCCCCAGTTTCGCACCGCATTAGCACTTTGGAGAGCGGCCTCCCGTCTCYGGGAGCAAGGTCTGGAGGCAGCTTCAGGGAGCAGAGCAGCTCTCGGGCCCCCCTCACCTGSTGCACGTCAGCACGAGGGCAGAGACGTGCGCTGCAGCCAAGGACCTGCTGTTCCCCTCCCCTCTCTTGCCACAAACTGAGCATGTACAAGGCAGCTGGCAGCAAGGCAGGAAGGTGGTGGTTCTGCCTCTCCAGCTCTCTCCCCAGGGAAAATTTGATCATCTTTCTCATGCTTGTGTTCATAGCAGTTCTCTTCAGAATAGTTTGCCTTAACGTGCTGCACATTGTTTTATCACTTTGTAGAAACTTCTCTGTTCTTCTAATTACAGGACAAGACTTGGCAGCTGTAGCGAAGGGCGTATCACCCCTGCATCGCTCCTGGTAGGAAGGGCCCAGCAGAATGGCACCTTACCTTCTCTCTGTCAGCGATTACTTGCTAAATTAACTCAGTTAACCCTCTTACTGGTTTTTGTTTGTTTGTTTGTTTCTTTCTTTCTTTCTTTAGTATGTTTACATTCTGCTGGGTCATTCACCTATTTAGCGGAGTMTTCAACACTTTCTCCTGGTACACTCAAGTTACAATTACAATTATTTGAAAAGGAGGGGGCTCATTTTACAAGAACGTGGTAGGAGCTACAAAGTTGATTAATGTTTCCCATTTTTATGGCAATAGTCTTACACATCSCTAAATGATTGAAATGTGAAGGCTGCGATGAAGCAGGAAAAGAAAAAAAAAGCTGCATTTTGCTTAATATGCAAATATGGAAAGATTAAAATTTTTTTTTTTTTTGCTTAACTCGTGTAGGTAGGAAAGCATTGGATCTAATGATGTTCCTTTGGATCCCAGCTGTGTGTGCAGCTTAGTCCCAGAATAACATTACCTGGTAAGCGCTGTTAACTTGGGGGATGYGACCACAACATCTAATACCTGGAGACCCCAGTGGGGCAACATGAAGGCTCTAAGTGGCAACTGATCTCTGTGTGAGAGTTTCATCACTGGTGAAGGCTGCTGGTAAGTGCTGGAGGCTGTTGTGTTTATTTGCTGCATTCATGAGAGCATCCACAGGATCAGTCAGCAGTTACAGCTGCTTGTCAGCAGGTCAACTGATTTCTTGGTCTTGGAGGCTTTGTGCTGATCTCAAGACRTTTTCTTCCCCTTTGCAGATGGCTGCTGTAAACCAACTTCCTCGCTGTAAGCCCTGCCTGATACTCAGCATGCTGAGGGCACCCCTGACTTTGCAGTGAGTGAAGCATGAAGAGGCGGGGATGGCCCACCAGGCAAATATGCTGTATCATCTGCTAGGGGACTGCAGCAGGAGGAAGGAGTAAAGATGAGGGAATGCATAGCTAAATTTGCAGCCCAACTGGTGGCCAAATCAGGAGAAGTGTGAATGAGGGTGTTTTCCTAGATGTAGCAACGCTGTTTTTRTAAGGACACATCTCCTCAGCTCCCTCCTCCCTTGTGCAAAAATGCTGTGTGTCAGCTAGTCTTGGCTTCCCTGTGCTGGAAATATCTGTAGTCTAGAAGATTTTGAAACGTTGCAGGAAGCCAAGGTCATTAAACTTTGAGCTCTTGTCTTTTTGCCATTGGGAAATGGCAAATGGGAATTCATGCCTAATGTCACTCCATAAGGTTGGGGAATCCGTCAGGACTCCGGCATCTTGGGCTGTGCCAGAAGTTTGTGTACCCCTTCTTCTAGTTTTGAGCCCCTCAAATCCTGTTTTAAGTCTGTTTTCATTTCTGAAGTGCCCAAATACCAGTTATATTTGTTCTCCCTGATTATTCTAGTTTTCTGTTGTCTTTCTTCCCATCCGTATATTTCTCCCCGTCCCTGCTCGCCTCCTTGTTTCCTCCTGCCTGTAAACGCCTGCACCACAGGCAGGAAAGCTGGACGTAGCAGGGCTGGCTGCAGCGTTAGGCCATGGAGCTGTCATCGGGCCTTGCCCAGATACATACAAATTTTGGTTTTCTCTCTTTCCCCTGCCACCCCAAGCGGGGATAGTGCTCTTGGGGGTTATAGGTGAATTCCCTACAAAAGTGGGCTGCCTCCCTGCCTGTGCCTCTTTGAGATTGCACCCAGTTGTGCTGCAGCCTGTGCCCTCAAGGGGTGCGGGAGGGAGCATCCCCGTGCCCCCCAGCTGCAGTGAGGGGCAAGAGCCCGTCAGGCCGGGCCTGGCTGGGCCCCCGCGGCTGCTGGGCACCCAGCAGGYGAGGGAAGGAGAGCCTGGCTGCACAGACAGATAAAGCAAACCCCGGTGTTGTCACATTCAGCCTGTCTCAGCAACACAGCCCACCACACACTGCAGGCTTAACCTGTTGCTTTGATGACTGGTATCAAGGAAGAGCAGTGGAGTCCCAGCTTGCTGGGCAAAGAAGAGAAATAAAGAGTGGGTGACTGGCAAGAAAATTTTGCAAGTCTGCAGTAAATGCACTTCACAACTAACCCCTGCTCCTTCTGCTTCGTATCTGACTGTCACAGTTGATAGGCCAGCTGATTCAGCGAGTGCTGGGCATATATGTGTGTGCTTGTACATATAGCAGGTGTATATGCACACTCATGAGCGTGCATATGTCCTTTCTAGACCACCTTTGACTGGTTAGGTTCAGTCTTGCAGTCTCAGAAGAGTTTATATTCTGAGTACAGCTGAGACATGAGTGATCTTTTTGAGCTAGAAACAGTTAACAGGTTTGCTCTCTAGRTACTGCTGTGCACTTTCCAGGAAGAAGATGGTCGGCAGTTACATGTGCTAAAATAGCAGGTTTCTAACTGCAAAAGCAGCTATATTGAGATACCTAGCCACTATTTTTTTTTCTCCTCACCTTAGGTCAGGTCAGTTAAGCTTAGAATGTGCACTCATGATAAATGCAAGATTTATAAAAGCCTTTAAATAAGAAGAAGATGAAGCAGCTGTAATARCTATAAAAAATGACAGCTTTAAATATATTTTAGGAAGTAGGTAGACTGACTATATGTCGAATAACGTGACTGGTGAAGACAGATCACTTGTACAGTGACTGACATTTGGTTTCTGTGTTGGACACCGGTTGATGAATTTGGCTAGCGGGTTTTGTCTTTCTGTGGTGTAGGTTGTATGTGGAACGTGATCAGCAGCAGAGGAGGATTGTGCCTGGATTGTCCTGGGTAGCTGGTAGCRGACACACGATGTGAAAGAATCAGGCACTGGAACAGCAGTACGGCGTTTATGCACATGAAATACTGTTCCTTTTTCTCTGCAGGAGGCTGCAGGCATCATAGAAAAACTRCTGGGATATAGGCCAAGATTAGCAAGGTCCATGTTATCAGCAAGAAAATACATTTTGAATGGCGGTTTTACAAGAAATCTAGTAGCTGCTGTTCGTTTCACTTACGTGTGACTTCATCAGCAAAACATTAACAGCCACCTCTGGATTCAGCACAGCAGGCAACTTCCATCTACTTTGTTTAGAAAGAGGCAAAAATACTTTTGTAGATAAAGTTGTCTGAACTAAAAATTATTTCTATTAATTACAATATTTGTATTCATATATAGAAAGTAAATGGTTTCATTTCTTATTTGGTAAATAGTCATATACTGGTCATTTTGTTTTTTGAAATTGCTCTTTATTTGCCCTTAAAAGATACATTAATAAATTACAAGCCTCTAGAAACAGCAGAAATAGTAAGACGTGAACCCACAAATACAATACCACGCAATTCTAAAAAGATAAGAAAGAGTGTGCCCRGACAAAGTGGAAAGTGCTGTAAATCAAGCTTCTTTGAATCAACAAGTGACCAGGGAGCAGAATAGCAGAGCCGGATTATTTGTCCTGATGTTTTAAGAAGGTACTTGAGGCTCATGAAAGGTAGCATCTTGTCTTTGTGTTTATGTCCTGCTGACTAAGGCAAGAAAAGTTCCTATCTTGCAAAGTACAGGACATCGTTCTCATTTTCAGTACCTGTGGATTTAATGATCATATCCGAGGCAGTTTTGTAGGCCTCCTAAGCTGAGAAGTTGCCAAGGAAACCGAATTGCCGTTTTCAGAAGTAACTTTGAGCACAAGACTCACATTCTKGTGTCACACAAAGTTCTCTGAAAATGGCATGCTGAGAAACTGAAAGCAGTTAGGCAGGATTTCTGCTGCAAATGTAGTGTGTAATAGCTACAGTTCATGAGACGAGAAAATTACTCATTGCTTAGTTTGATATCTCTGCTCAAAGCTGACTAAATTCACTGAAAATAAGACAGACATCGACTGTCTTCTTGCCCTCCCAGAAGTAGTAGGATTAATTAGGTTGATTCATGCCTGTGTAGAAGTCGTGACAAGATTATAAGACTAAAGAAAACTATTTCATTAAACTAAAGAGAGCCCAAAACCTCAAACACCTCAGTGGTTAATGAGAGAATGGTTGTAAAGTAACTGTATATTCTGATGAGCAGCAGCAGCAGACGTATAATCAGAACACTTGCAGAAAAATTAGTCAATTGCTGTAACTATTCATGCTGCAAAGGAAATACTRAAAGTACTTTTCTTTTTATTCATGTACTTCACAAAGCAATAAGTGTCTGACTGAATCTCCATCCCGTTATTGCATCAGGACCTCAGCTCTGTAGACTGGCATCAAGGTGTCATGATAGGTTATGTTAATGAAATGTCTGGTCTTATGTCTGTATATTATTTAGTGATGGAAGATAAATAGAATATTTAGAGTTGATCGTTTTGCATGTCAAAAACACGCTATAGGCATTATGAAATTAGTTGCCTGTTTCATTAATAGGGGTATAACTGGTTTAAAAATTCATTGACTAGAATGTTTCCGATGGGATTGTCAAAAGGGCCTTTAGGGAGTTCAATCTGCAAATCACACTGCAAATCACACTGAGATTCAGGGAGAGACTTTGATAGCTGAATTCCTGAGACTCCTTTAGAAATGCCAGCCTCAGGAGTTCATGGAGGTATGAGGAATCAGCAACTGAAAGCGCCAATAAGGAGTATACATTGACAGGAAAACTGTACGGTAAGTTTGTCAGGAATGTATGGATGCAGCCAAGAGGTTTAGTTTGTTCCACTGTCACTCCAAACTGACTTTACTTCTCTTTCAGCACATGGCCTTGTGCTTCCAAGAACTTCTTTCTGCCAAGTGTGCAAGTGCAGGAGCCGTAGGGAGCTTCCACCGGAATCAGAACCTGAGAAGAAACAGGAGAAACATGGAGGTCATTCCTGACGCAAGGATATGCCAGTGTCCTCAGAGGAGCGTGCTGGGCAGTAGCTGTCCAGCAGAAACTGTAGCTATTAATTCCCTCTGATATCATTTCCCTTTCCTTCCCTTATGGACATTAGTAGTAGGTTTTGYTTTTATCTCAAGAGAAAGCACATCACTAGCATCCACCCAAAAGAGAACAAGGAGCATTGCAGCAGAATCACAAGCATTAGRAAGGGAGACTAGAGAATAAACAGACTAAAAATCGTCAATTGAAATTGCAACTGCAAAACTGAATAATCCAGTTTCTTTCTGATATTCACACAAGGATAGCATTTGGATAGATTTTCAGCTGGACATCAGTTGGAGCAGCTGTGRATGTCCCCTACATCTCCTACAATGGCTGCAGGAACAGTCCATCCCTTCACAGCTCTAGGAAAGTGCTGCTCTTCTAGATATTTATTTAGCCTATGGACCTGGTTAACCTAGTTGTTACACTGCTTCAGCAAGGAAAAATGACAGCTCATTACTGACCTCAGTGGTATTGCCAAAGAATTATGTTAGAAACAAAACCCATGTAGGGGTAGCAGTTCAAATTGTCTGTGGACAATCTGATATGTTCTGCCTGATTGCAAGTGCACAAGCTGACATTATCAGCTTGTGCTGAAAGTCAAATTCAGTAAAGAGGAACAATTTCTCAGATGGCTTCTATAACTGTATTTACAGACTCTTTTGGCCTCCAGCACCTTCTGTGTGCTCCTTGAGCTTTTATCAGTAACACAAGTAAGGGGCTAGCTTTCTCCTGTAATCACTTTAAATTTCTTTTAGAGTTAGTGTTCTCTGTGGCTGGGGTGTTTTTATTTTTTAAGCTAAGTACTTTTTTTTAAGAGTCCTTTACAGTAGTATTTTGAGCATTTACTTACTTCTTTGTCATTGGTCAAGCCTAGATTCTTCATGTCTAAAACATTGTAAAAAGTGTTGTTCAACATGACTTCAATGACCTGTACCTGAAACCATGCAAATAAGTGGGACAATGAATTAGTGCACTTTCTTAGCCAATGCCCTGAAGGTATTTGCACTTACTAGAACGAAAAACAATTGGCAACCTGAAAACAAAATTTGTAATGTTGATAAAATACAACCAATTGAACATGAAAATGATTTTTTTTTTTTTTTTTATCACCCCTTTCATTTTCCAGCTGGCCCCACCAAGCACTGATTTTTTTCTCCCATTTTTTTCGCAGATAGTGTTTGACACTTCTCAGGTCTGAACTTCTGGCTGTGTTCATATTTGTTTGGAGCATAGAGCTGGACCACCAGTTTCCAATTGGAGAGCCAGCAAAATAGGCTTATTCTGGTCCTATGAGTCCGATTAATATTAAATATCATTTAAATAAAATGTCAAAGAAGGAAAGAAGATACCTGGGACACTCTAGAAAGGATGAGCATCTGGATGCTGTTGACAGTCTTCTGATAGGATGGTGAGTATACCCCACAGTCGGGTGGCCCAGCGAAGGCCTCGATGACGCACTCCCGGACTTTGTTCCTAGAGGAAGCATTGTACCATTACAAAATCCTGTGTCAGTGCTCTGTGTCTATACATATAATATTTTACTGTACTCTATTAAAAAAAAAATGTATCTTTTTGTACCACTACATAGCACATGAGATGTCATGAAAGAAGTGTATTTTTCCTCCAAATTATCCCACAACTCTATAATTTGCAAGTATTTTGTTTAAAGTGTTTAACAAATTAGGTGTAAGTGCATTCTCCTAAAGTGCCAAGTATTGAACTACAAGCTGCCCATTTAACTAGTCCGCACTATCACAGAGATAAGTTGGTAAGTTGATTTACCCCAGAGGTTTACTTGGCAGAGGTTGCCTTACACCCATAGGCAGCAAGAGGTTAGAACTTCCTCAGATCYGTGAGAGTGGTTGGCGCTCAGCAAATCTGGCCCTTAAGCCTGCTGTGTTGTTAGGGGGACTTTGGAGTTGTAAATTATATGAAAAAAATATTTAATTTGACATATACCATACGCAGTCAAAATCAAAATCTTTGCATTCGCCGTATGACCATTTGCAGAAGAGTTCTCCACATAAAATCCTGTCATTCCTTTCAGGAAGTGTGGTGCATTCACTCTTATGGAAGCCTTCAAATCCGGACTGTGTTGTCTTCATAAGTTTCAGATCTTTAATTCCAGCAAAAACAACCAGAGGACCTGTGATCCAAAAATGCAAGACAGTGTGAGCTCCTTTCCAGTCACAGTGAAGGGAACTCTCTGGATGTGTTTGTTTGCCTGTGTTGTTTGGACCTGTGATCCAAAAATGCAAGACAGTGTGAGCTCCTTTCCAGTCACAGTGAAGGGAACTCTCTGGATGTGTTTGTTTGCCCTAGCAGCTCCAGAACCAATAAGGATCTCTCTAAGATAGACTTGTGCTTCTCTTGCAAGCCTCGTTACTTTATAAAATTATTTCTTGGACTGGTGTTAGTGGGAAGGGGAAAAACAAGATAGAAACCCTTGAAATCACAGCTCCATTTGGAAAGCAGAGAACCCCATCAAATGACCTGTAATGTCAGTCAGTGAGAGCGGAGCACGCGCTTTATCTCACCTCCTTGGCCTGGGTTATCTGCCATATGAATTCAGGAAGTCCTGTTTAGACTAAAGGGAAATAAAATAGGCTACTAGGGTTGTGGCATAGAGGAGTGATGCCGTGAACTTTTCTACAGTGATGTGGAAACACAGTAGACACAAAGACGTAGAGACTGTGGCCGGAGTTCACACATCCATTTTGTTGCGACTTCAGCATCAGTAAAAGCCAGARGGTGAGCGGCCAGTGCTGCAGTGCAGCTTCCCCACAGTCCTGGCACTGCTGCTCTCAGATGCCACCCACAGGTTTGAACAGACAGTGATTCTGCTCTTAGCCACTATTTATAAAATGTGCTGTTGCAGATCACTTGTGCATGGGTGGATTATTGTTTTCTAAAGACCAACCAATTTTTCTTCTAACAGACCTGTTAGAACCAGGATGACTGCTAAAAAAAATCTAGATTGTCAGCTCGCTAGATGACACCAATCCAAGAGGTGAAAATTTCACAGACCAGCTTAACAGGAGACTTGTTTGCCACACACGGCTATCCAGAGCCCGAGTTAGTGGCTGAAGCCCCCGCTGCCCTTTCTGTGCTGTGCTTGGTGCTCACTCTAGCTAGTTCAATGCTAATCCTCAAATATACGTGCATGGTAACACATGGTAATCATGCCTTTGACTTGACAAACTTGGTTATATTAAATTCTGTCTTTAGAGGAATGGATACTGGAAATAGTTTTATTGTGACGGATATTTTAAATGATGCAGTTGTTTAGAATTTTTTAAAATCCTCCATTACTGGAAGTGATCAAAGCTACATTTTACATAAGTATTTCTCTTCTTCTTTACATTCATTGTTGTTTTTGAATTGGGTCCAAAGAGGTGTATCTCTTTGAACCTAATTCAAAAAGCAGCAGTGATGTGCTCTCCCCTGTTATTTACTAGTACTTTACAAAACTGCCTTCTGGATTTTATTCAGATCTTGATGAATTCCTTGCTCGCGTTTAAGGCAGGAATATCCACATATTAATGTAGTACAGATACTATCAAGGATCCTTGAAGTGTATTTATCTCATATTCAAATGCACAGCCTTGATTTAAAGAGTTCCTTGCAACTAATGACTCACATAAATGCCAACTGGCTGGCTATGTAGCTGTCTCTCTGAAGATCACTCTGAAGTGTCAAGCACCTAGGCAGTTAGTCTTGTGCTTTCAGTATGTTTTGTGGTTGCCCTGTCTTTCTAGTTGTCCAGTTTTGACTCTGATAAATTACTTACAGTATTTTCAATTCACAGAAAATTCTTTTTTATCATTGGATATAATGGCAACTCAATAAGTCTATACTTACTGTTAAGTCTCACGAAGTTCTGTTTAGTTAGAGGGTAAATTGTTAAAACATAGGATAAACTGGGAAATAAATTTCAATGTCTGGTTGACAGATGCATAGGAGGATACTAAAGATAGAGAAGATTCTCACATTCTCTTATAAGAAAAATAAAAAGGGCTTGAGAACCTTYACCCTAGCAGGGAATCCTCAGGAAACAAAGAGCTACACGATGGGGAAGATTAAGGAGGAAAGGTCATTTCTTCAGTAAGACTTGATAAGGCCCTCCTTGTGCAGAGAACCTGAAGTTGCAAAATTTGATGCTGATTTTTCAGATTTAGATCCTATCTATAGTTTAAGAGTAGCATTTTGTCAAGAAAAATATACAGTTTATTTTCCTTTTCTTTTTCTTCTTTTTTTCCTTTTTTTTTTTAATTCCTTTTTCTTTCTTAACATTTTCCAGAAAATGATGTCAATACTGTGGAAGCTAACAAGAATATGGCAGTAGTTAACATGGCAAGCAACATAAGAGAAGGAGGCACTAGAAATTTGTATCAGATCTCTCCTTTCATGGGGAATACAGGGACAAAACTCAAATGAATCTTTCAGAACTGTGGCCTATCTGTAAGTGAAATTGATCCCTCCACAARCTTGCATACTAGGAAAATAGGAAGAGAGAATAGTTTGGGAAATATGTCGAAGTTACATATCTGATTTATCTTAAGACAGTAATGGATACTGAAATAAGGCCTAATCCTAAACCCATTGTATGAAACAGTGCAGTGAGCTCAGCTCAGTTCCCAGTGTTCTGATATGCCAGTACAGTGAGACTGAGCTGACACTCTCGCAAAGAGTACCATCAACACAAGAGAATTATTATATTTACATTGGAATGACAAGTCATCTAGCTGCCTAATTTACAAATGGACATTTCAGCTTTAAAGCCTATGTCTTTTCAAGATCCTAAAACTCTGAGTGAAGTCAAATGGAATTTGGTTTATGCAAAAAATAGTAAGCACACTATGAAAAGATTATCTGTGAAAAATGGTTTGCATATATACTTTTGTGCTCACAGTGTTCAAGTTAGCATGGTTTGCAGCAATTACATCACAACTTTTTAACAGTAAAACCAAGACATGCTGTCAGGTAGCTGCAAATTAGACAACTGGCCTATGGCAATAAGGCTTTGTGGTATATTCTCTACAGAGTAAAGCTAATAGTGAAAATGTAGGCTGTCATGTAATGCAAAAATGTAAGCAAACTGTTTGCAGCAGGCTATAAAATCCTGTGACAACATTGTTAGTTAGGTTGTATGTATAATTGTAACCAATATGCGTTTAGGATACGCACATAAATATAAGGGTAGATTCAGCTATGTCTAAGGGACAAAGCACTACAAAATTCAGCCATAAATATTTTTGTTTTGTTCCGTTTTAGACCTCTGGAGAAGCCCTTTAACACCTTTAGCTATCTCTAAATCCATCTTCATCTGTCATCAGTGGAAATATTTATAGAGAAGCAGGGAAAGTAAAAAATTCTCACCATTTTTACACTGCTCAGCTTCACAAAAGCGAATCCCCTCAGGAACACATATAAATGAATGGATATGAGGAATGCCATTCTACAAATGTAGAGCAGATATGTAAGTAAAAGTGCAGTGAATTGTATCCAAACTTGAAAAGAGGAACTGAGAAAGCAACAAATGGCTGGAGCGTAAACAAAATGAGTGTACTGTATTTTAGATACCTCCTGTAGCCGTTGCCATGGCACTTCTTGAATGTAGGTTTTGACATACGCCACTTGACAAAATGTTGTCATGAAGTATTTGCAGATATCAATAGCAAATTGTTCTATAGTTTGGATCTAAGAAAACAAAAAATATAGTTACAAGTCAACAATTATGTCAARTGCAGGAGTAGATTGTTCTAATAGTTCTAGATATTTGGGAAGAATCAGTTTGGTTAAAATACACATTTTCTTCAATTCTGGTTTTGCACACTGTATGCCTAGTCGTTTCATAAAGCATAAGCTGCAAGTAGCAGCTTCAAATTCACATCAAAAATCTCCCATTCCAAGTGTAGTGAGCTGAAGTATTTGGACTGAGAGGAACTACTATGCAAGCTTGTTCCTTTGAGAATATAACATTTAAAAAATCATCGTGATACTCTGGTTCAGCTGTGTAGGCTAAAGATGGAATTTCATTACCGAGACCTTGGTCCACAGATTGTCATTATGATATATTGAACTGAAGGAGTTAACATCCTGCACAGATAACRGAACTAAGAGGAGTCTTATAAGACAGTATCATGTGTTGTTACATTATATATATATATATAAAAATGTTACTAGAAAGTTGCCTCAAAATGCTGCCTCTAGCTTTGTGAGAAATTAAGGCTTGGAGAACTAAGGATGTTTCCATGTTTCTGTGCTCAAACACGGAAGTGGGTACATAACATTTTCAAAACTGGGGCTACTCAGATTTGAAAGGTTTGTCTGTTTAAGTGCAAGATAAGTTATGAAAGGACAAGTTAACCAACACTGAAATTCTCAGAATAGGGAAGAGTGTTTCAGATACCCTTTGTACTCAGGATAATTACTGGGGAAAGAAAAATCTCTTCCAAATCTTTGAAGGAGTCTTACTGCCAATCTAACATACACATATGGAGGACAGAATATTCTTTTGATGTGTTTTGGGGGAAATAAAAAAGTATAACAAATGCTACAAATAAAGTCATAAGCTACAGCAAGGCTGGTTAAAAAAAATAAAATACCCCATTTTTTTTGGCCAGCACAAGGACAATGTTCTTTATGGTGTCTGTGGGTATCACAGCAGCGTTGTTTCCATCCAGATAGTCGTGGGCAGAGGTCAGCCGGAGATGTGTGCAAACTTCTACTTCTTTAACAAAGTGCTTCTTCCCCTCTCTTTTAAGGCGGAGGAACTTAATTGTGTTCTTGCCATATTCRCAGCTGAGGACTTCTACGTCCTTGATCTGCAACGACAGCATGTGCATTGTGGTGATGAATGAAATGCAGAGGGAAAAAAAAAAGCTGTAGGAAGATATTATTACTCCAGTAGCAGCTGCGATAGAGTTTAAAAGGATTTAAAAGGATTCTTGCCGAGGGCGGGCAGGTCTATCCCAGCACCTCCTGCCCTCGCGCCRCCAGCGCCAAGCCCGCAGCCCGCCTGGGCTGGGCTCCGCGCAGCCATTTCTGACTTCCCTTGGCAGGGAGAGCCCATTCCCAGCGCTTCCTGCTCTTCCAGCCGCAGGGTGCCGGGCGGGCGAGGCCTGCGCGGAGCGAGGCCTGGCAGGGCCGCAGAGCCGCTGGGGCCGGAGCCCGCGCCGGCATCGGTGCTGCCATCGCAAGGAGCCAGCACCAGCGTCGGCCCTGCCGCTGTGGTGAGTGGGCAGGGCTTCCCCGCAGGGAACAGAGCAGCCCCCGGCTTCTCGGCAGCTTTCTGTGTTTTATTGCCCCATTTATGCGCGTTGTGATTCCCCAGGGAGGGAGGAAAAATGGAGTGATACGTGGAAAGGCCAAGCTGCACTCGTGGAAAATGTTTTGTCACTTTTTTTTTTTTTTTTTTTTTTTTTTTTCCCCCCCGTAGGGCTGATCTCTCTCGCAAAAGGAATCGCAGCTGAGCCTGAGCAGCAAAATTCAGGTTAGCAGCCACACTTGCAAAATTTGGGCTTTCTGCAATCGCTGGTGTGGTTGGCGTTAAGCCCCGTTCACTTTTATCCTGCTTCAGTCGGACACTGTCCAATTTATACATCTGCTATAGTATCGGGAGACAAAAATACTGTGAACACTGTGAGCATTTCTGTTAAACATCTGGAGTTTATCGCACTAAAATTTCCTTGATGTTAAAATATCCCATACTTGATATCAACGTCTTTTAATTTAAGCATAATGGAGAAGGAGAAGGTATTTTTCAACAGTTTTTGTGGTCAGAGAGTTTTCTCTTACTGTCTGTAGGCTCAGTCCGTCCAGACAAAGTAAGGATTCCCTCATGGACAAAGTCAGGATCTGGGAGAGGTCAGCACTTCACAGGAAACTGTTCTGTCCTGGCAGGAATGGCACCGATGGTGTGCTGATTGCAAGGGCTGGGTGCAACAGGAGTGAAATCAAAACAAACTGATTTTGGTTTGCTTCTCTGAAAAATGTAGCTTTTTGGATAGTTGTAAAAAATGATAATTCATTCACAGAGCAGTAGAAAGAAAAACAAATGTTTCAATATCTACAGCTCATTTGAAAGCAGAATACATTAGATATTTTGAATATTCAAAATAATACCTTCTAAAATATAAAAGCATATTTCTCAGAAATGTCACTGTCGAATGTCATTTTGCCATTGTGCTGCCCCCAACATGCTGCAAAGTCACCGCAGCCCCGTGCCGGGCGACGTCTCTGCCGCACGGGTCCGTCCTGCTCCGAGCCGCGGTCTCGGCAGCTGACTCTGCTACGTTTACTACACCATGGCAAGAGCTGACAGTTAATGAAACACGTATCAACTTCTTCTTTCAGAATCTGCCCTGCGCTCTCGCTGTGCAGACAGACCAAAATGACTGTGAGATCCATGTGGTGTCACTTTGTTTTGCTATTACATCTTTCCACCACCATATCCCTGGGGGCAGCTGAAATTTCCTGCAGAAATGAAGATGGAAACCCTATTGATTGGTAAGTAAACAAAAGAAATGTTGGAAGAGTAAAAATTGCTTAAGATTAAACTGCGTGAAGTCAGTGGATCACTGGGAAGTAATGCTTAATAATCTCTGTCTTAATCTTATCTACCTAAATACTTGAATTTTGAGTTTGGAAAATCTAGGATAAATTATTGTAAGCTGATTTCATTCACCTCAGTACCCACATTTTGGCAAAGGCAGCATCTTGCCTTGCTGAACAAACTCAATTGAGTGGGGAAGACTCACTGTCCTGGCCRTAACCTCGTTGCTCGCACCAAACAGCAGCCTGGTGCAATCTGTGCCCTTCGTACAGTTGTTGCGGTGGCCAAGAGCTGAGGGTAAAATGAAGCTGAACCATCTCCTGGTCGGAACAGGGTGAGGCACRAGGAATGCAGACAGACATGGCAGTGTGGGAAAACGCTCTCAGTGGTTTGTGACTAAGAAGGAGACGTCATTCTGCAGCCTCCAGAGCTGCCAGCACTTTCGTGCTGCTAGCAGCCACCCTGGCAGCGGTGAACATAAATTTGGGCATTAAATGATTAATTAGATTAATGCACTTTGAAGATGAAAGATGCAAAGTGTAATTACTGTACATAATATCCAGCCCAGGTTTAAAAAGTGAGATGAGTGCTCTTAAAAAAAAAAACAATTGCAGCTTGCCAAAGATAAGTATCAACTAATTAAAAAAGTAAAGAGTTTCTCTCACAGAACAATGATTCATTTGGATACAAAAGATAAAGGAGTAGGCACTCTTCCTGTAATACTTAAACATGCCCCTTTCTTTATGCATAGAGGTAATTCAAGGGAAAGCAGAGGACTAGTCACACTATAGGTAGCATGGAATGTGGAGCATGGGTCTAACACCCGCTTTGCTGTGTCCTGGATTAGCATCAAACTTAATGAGGGTCTGGCCCATCCCTGTGATTTGTCACCTGTGCCCTGGCWCTTTTGGATAATGACATTTTCAGGATCAGATTCTTGTGTATGTGGCCAGACAAGAACTTAAAGATAAGATTAAGTTCCTTTCCCTGTAATTGTTGTTATTTGTTGCAGAATGAATCTGCCTGTGCTTTAGGATCAAGCCAAAAGAATATACTTGACCATCTATTTCTTAAATCCAAATACCAAAGTTCTCTAAGGAATTCTCTAAAATCTTTAGCTAGTTTTGACCTCTGCCTGTGTGAATGCTGATGTCAGGCCAGTTCCAGAGGGGAAACAGGCTGCTGCTGCACAGTGCTGTGTGTGAAGCAGTGCTCCCATCCAATGAGTTATGGGGSAGAAGGGAGGAATTATCTTTTAAATGTGCCATGAGCAAATGAAAGAGAAACATATCTATTTTCAAGTCGTTATTATGAAATAGTCAGCTTTTGCTGGATGCTGGATTCAGTTGCTGTGAAACTGATAGGAGAAGCAGAAGTGAAACTGCTGAAGAAAGCTTCCTCTCACCCAGATGTCGTGATGCCCTTTCAAACAAATACAGCATTGCAGCTATTGCACTCAGCTAGCAGCACGTTTGCACGAGTCCTTAAAGGGTGTCATCCTGCAATATTCCATAATTACTCATTGCTAATTACTAATACTCTTGCAGTTGTTGCATTTGACACTGACTTGAAGGAATCTCTTGCCCTGTGTGATCTGACAACATCTCTTTCCCCCAAATCTGCTTAAAATTTCTGCCTAAGTGGAGGGGCTATCGATATCCTCCATTGCTTCATGTCATTTAAGAGCCCATCTCACCGTCTTTACTGCACCTTATATAGGTATTATTAGTGTAGAGGATCATAGGATCAGCTCTAAAGAGGACAGAATGTCTTTATTCTTTATATCTTTAGTCACTATATACAGTGAGAATCTTATCACACAAGTAAAAGCTAAAGGACTGCTTTCTGACAAATGCCAAGTCCATCGTTAAAACCAGGGATACTTTTTAATTCCAATTAGGGCAATGGAAGTTGTTTCCTTGGTACACAGCATTTTGCAGCCTGGAAGCAAAACTAGATACTACTTGATAATTTTTAATAGTGTCACTGTCTGCCTTTCACCTGCACTTCAGAAATTATTGTTTTTTACTGAAAAAAAGTGGTGGTTAGTAACTTAGAGTTCAATCACGAGAGGCCTAATCAGGCATAAGCAGATCCTTGCCATTTATGCCTTTGCTTCTCCTTGGTTCTCAGGATAATAACTGCCACTCTGCTCCCACAAATCCTTAAGCTCTTGAGAAACTTCCTGCGCACAAATAGCACTGAAGATATTTATGCAACTTGAAATTGCTTATGCACTCAACTAACTCTCTGTAAAGGGCCAAAACACGTATCAGCTGGGAATTGACAAGCAATTTATATTAATAGATGCACTATTAATATATCCAGAGTCCTATGTGCAAACAYTGTCATGCTTGCTTGGTGCTAGGCTGTGAACACCAGAACATAAACCCTCCAATATATTCCAAAGCAGCTTGGAAGGCTGCACAGACTATTTCTTGGATTAACTCTTGCTATTATAACTACTACTGCTCACCTCCTTTCCAAATCTTAATTTCAAATAAAAGGATTTTCATGACTCCTCATGCATCTAATGCCCTCATCAAGCTTATTATACAAATCACTTCCTTCATCTTCTTTGTTATCTGTCATCATCAACAATTTTTCCCGAGGTGTTTAAAGAACATCACTCAGAGGCAATGCAGGTGGATTTAATTTTTTTTCTGCCTGTATGTGTACCCTTTCCATGTATCAAATGTTCTTCTATCAAATGCTTTCCCACCACTTTTTATCTGCTTTTCTGTTTCTTTAGAATGTATTTTATACCAGCTTTAGACTGAATATTAACTGTGCAAGGCTTATTCCTTCCTACATATTTAAAGTATCCAGTGGAGTTAGGGTGCATCTTTGTACTCTAGAATTGAAAATAATGTCACTCAGTTGTCATGTTGACATAAGTAACAAATTGCTTAAATGAACACTCAAAGAAAATACTCAGTAAATTATAGTGCAGTTAATTCATGGACTTGTGTCCTGGCAAAACCTGTTTACTTCATCACATATGTTAATGTGTGCTAAGCATTAACTGACAATGCTGAGTACTCTAAAATTCTGAAAAAAAAAATCTGTTTCTAGTTCATGGCTTGTAAATACAGAGCATACAGTAGTTCAGCAGAGTGTGAGTTTGTTACGAAGAGTATTATAGCATTATCACATAGCTTTATGTTTATTTACGCACATACATATATGGGTATCTACGTATATAAGCTGTTGGTAAAAGGTGTCCTTGTTGACCATGAGAAATGCAGACAGTTTGGACCTGAGTTCAAGGTCCACATTTCATTCTTCTCTAGGAGTAGCAGTGGGTCGGTGGCTAAGGGCGATTCCGAGGGACGTCGCTGCAGGTTTCTGTGCGTGTCCCTCTGAAGCTTAGCTGCAATTAGGGTGCTCAAGTACAAATAGAAGAGACTGAACCTTGTTCTGCGAGCGGTRTTGGTTCTGAAGGCTGGAAGAACGTAATCACACACCATAAAGCTCTGTGGAACAAGGCCCTTATCTGCACTTTAACCCAGCAAGGGCTTCCACACGTGTGGCAAACCAGACCTCGGTCCAAACAAGCTCTTTTGSGGCACCAGCAGCAGCCTGACTGCAGGGTTTGGGTGTACGGCCAGCCCCTCTTGGCTGCTAATAAGCAGAACAACTTTGGCTGCAGAAAGTATCATGCCCCTAAACTGCTCCTGGGCCTAAGCTGGGCCATCTGCTCAGGGCTGAAATATCGACACCGCGCACTGCTGACCCTGGCTCTCCTCCTRCGTAGGTGTCTTCCATGTCCTTAAATGCGCAGGTGGGAAGGAGGCACCAACTCATGCACTGAAACAGGACAGCTTGTAAAATGTTACTCTTTGCCCTTGCAGGTTTGTTCTTTACAAGTTACCAAAATTTACAGAAGAAGAGAGTGCTGGGCTGGGCCTGGAGTACATGTACCTGGATTCCCTGACTCACGCGTGGCGACTCAGTAAATATCTCATCAATATGACACAAGGTGGCCTAGGGCAAACACTAAAACAGCTTTATGAAACTTATGAATCCAAGGCAAGTGACACTTAATTATTATTTTGTTAATATATTTGCTTGATTTTACATGCAAATGATATGAATTCAGTGAAAATAAGCATGTGGAAGCATGGCCAGACCTAATTAGATCTGCTAAAATGCACCAAGGCAGCACAATCTGACAGCTAGGCAGATTATTTGTGGGTTTTTTTTATTATCAGTTATTTATAATTTTATTTAACCGTAATAATAATACTGTTTGCATTATTTTTGTATTATCTGTTTTACTTTTGTAAACTACAAATTATCCTAGAACTTCTCATTTCTAGTTAAGCTTTTCACACACTTAAGAGGTGGCCTATAAAAATAAAAAAAGCATTAATACTTAGACCCTATGGCTTCTTCTCTGCCACTATTGCTGAGCAACAGCTGTAACTTCAGACGAGGGCACAAGTAATGGTAACGACCCCAGTAATGACCAGTGGTCATTGCTATGGGGGTTTGTCCTCAGTCCTCCTGTTTGCGTATGCCTCAAGTGCCTGCTCACRTCAACATGGGGTTTCACTGTTGTCCTTGATATCCGTGTGACTTTTCAGCAATAATAGGCTGTTTATTAGGCTTGTTTTCCTCCCCTCCCACATTGTCAGACACCTAATTTATATTTGTGCAAAGTGATTGTAAAATACTACAAGATCTGCCTATAGTTATTTTTTTACCGTTTACATAATATTCTCAGGAGTCTGGGTGTGTCTTTGCATTTTTTTTTTGCTGTAGGTTAGTAGTAAGTTGTCATTAAATTTGTATTTAGGAAAGAACCAGGCAACTCTTCTATTCCATGGCACAATGTAATTGTAATATAGCATTTACAAACTCATAATGTGGAGCCCACGTTGGTGCCAATGTTCAAACACTGTTCGTGTTTGCAAACTATGCATCTGGAGAGGAAATATGTCCCAGTTCTCCTGAAGTTCTCTATTCAGGGAGAATAAGATGTGACTATATGCAAGTATTTTGCAAAAAAATAAAAATACAAAAAAGTATTAATTGTTCATCCTCCATGTAAACAGTTGCCATGTCTACATTTACTCATTATCCGTTTTCATAAGAGCTGGTTGCTAAATCAGAGAGAGACATGGAAAAAAAAAAAAAAGGAGAAATTTCATTGCAAAGTGATTGCCTAATAAAACCTTATAAGGTGCCTTAGTAAGCATCTCAGACCTTGTTAGGGAGCCTTGGTTAGGGAAGGAGGCTTGAAGCGCTCAACAAAACTTCCACTTTACATTAACTCTTTGCTGAATTCTTGTCAGGTTTATTTTGCTGTAACTTGCATAGATACTGTGTCAGATGGGAGTGATAAGCTCATGATGATACTGAGATGCTGAAGTTCTGAATTCTTGCTCCTGCTTCTAATAGATATGCTTTTAAACGCCTTTCATTTATTGAGTGTAATGTCTCATAATTATATGTTTTCCTGCAGAACAACAGCGTTGCCTATGCAATATATAATGATGAGGTCCCTCATTCTAAGGCCTTCAACTGGAAAAAAGGCCATACCAAAGGTACGGGAACAGTCCCAAGTTACTGTTTTCTCCTCTTTAAAGTTGTAGATAACATCTATTTGTCTGCTCATTAGTCTGTCTGTCCAAACTTCCTGCCCAAAGCAAAACGGGAGCATGATTTGCATGACATATGTTTTGATATAGCTATGGATGCCATAGCTRCCGTCCGCGTGCTGCAGCTTCTGGTTTGGTTTTGCCTGTATTGTGTTGAAAAACTGTAAGGGTTTATGGGCTTCTTGCCTTGTATATGGTGAAACTCATATGCCTTTTAACAAGTACAAATCACACTGCCCTGAGCCTGACGGCAACAGCAATACCAGGTGTGGAAGGAAAGGTGTCATAAACAACAGAATCCTAAATCAAATGAACTTCCAAACTCTCTTTGGCAAGAAACTGCTGCCAAGATCATCTGCCCTTGCAGAGGCAGATTGGGTTTGCCCAGCGTGATTCCAGAATCAACATATTTTGCAGGCCTGTGTTTTCAGGCTGCAGAAATTGGGACAGTTCAGGAGCTGTGCTCCTTCCTGGAGCACTCAGCTGCCATGAGAGGCATATTCTGCCTCTCTGCTGCTTTCCCCTGGAGAAGAATTCACTCCGGGAGAAGAAGGAAAAGACATGATGTTGATAGAGCCCATTGCGTCTTAATGCAGTGAATCTAGGGGGAGGAAGGAAAAAGAGCAGCAGAGACCAAGTCATAGCCTTTAAATCATCAGATTTTTCAAAGACAACGTTTGAGTACAGAAAGGGTTTGGGAAAGGAATTAAAAAAAAATAAAAATGAACTGAGATAACAGTTTGATTTAGGTTATTCGGAACAAAATTAATGCAACTTGAATAAAATACTACTGTTTAATATAATTCATTAATATGTACTAGAGTCAATTTACTGTAGAAAATAATGCATTGAAGAGCAGTATCTGCAGCACTAAAACCAAAACTACTGTATTGTCTCGTGGCTTTTTTCCCCCTTAATTTATCTACAGTAATTTTCCTTTGACAGGATTTCTGCTCTTGGACAAGTCACAAGGCTTTTGGGTAATTCACAGTGTGCCTCTGTTCCCTCCCTTTCTTGAGGATGGTTATGGTTATCCAGCTACTGGGAAAGAATATGGACAGACAGCCATCTGTGTAACCTTCAAGTATGACCAGTTTACAGAAATAGGTATGAACATCTTTTTATTCCTAAGAAAGCCTTTGAACGACTGAATCTCTTTGACCCAATCTCTTGAGGCTGTGTCTCAAAAATGGCTTGTTCTTGTCCTCAAGCTTCGTTGTCAGATTAGTAAACTGAACGGGGCCTGGAAAGAGCATTCTTGGCTTTCAGTTATGTTTATCCAACGATCTCCTGTCTGAATATGGGAAACTCACTCTCCCACTCCGTCTCCATCACCCCATGAGGACTGTTGGGACACTGATAGTCACAAGTGCATTTTGAGGGTAGAGTCAAGCCACGCATACGGAGAGCTTTGGAAATATAAAGCAGGATGATTACTCATTTTTAACAGAATATAACAGTAATAGCACTGTTCAGTATTCTGCAGCTCTAAAAATGTAACACAATCACTGCTTGAGGTGAGCAGCCACCCTGACACTTCAGGACTGTGAAACAGAAAATAACTATTCCTCAAATTTTTCATGAGTACTTTTTGCAACACAAAATACCCACACTAAAAATAAAAAGTAAACCTATAACTGTAAGATTCAACTATCTGATACAGGCATTCCAGAAAGCAGCCATCAAAAGACATTGTAACAAGTCMTACTGATATATTTATTAAAAAATTTCATGCTGTATTTGCTCAGTTACAAGCCCATAATTATACTAATGAGCTATGTAAGGTTTTGAAGATAGCCACGTTGGGMCATACCACGGAGCTATCTAAACAAGAGTCTTGTTTAGGGAAGTGCTTGCTAGCAGATGCTTAGGGAAAGAGGAGAAGAAAATGAGAAGCAAACAGTAGTACTTCCTGCTCTGTCCTCCCAGCTTCTGGTAATCTGTGGTTTAGGGATTTCCTGAACTGGAAAGACTAGAAAGTTCCTGATGGACTGGTCTTCCATGAATTCATCCAAGTTGTTATTTTGCTCTGTACAGCATCCCTTGGCAATGAGCTGCGCAATTAAACCGGGTCTATATAGAAAAGTATTCTTTTTTCTGTGAATTCAATCTAGATTCTGAAAGTCMAGAGTTGTTCTTCCTGAAACCCAGCTAGACCCTTTGTCAGCTCTTTGGTTTGGCTTGACAAGTGTAACTGACTGGAACTACTCTGGTAAATATGGACAGGTTTGAATTGATAGCTGCTATGTGAGTGACGTGTGACTGCCGAGAGGCTTGGAGGTAAGCATGGATGTAAAGGCTAATATGATATATATGATACAGGGTCAATCAGAATACAAAGCAATTAAACATATTTTTGTTATTAGAATAATCTACTTTGACAATGAACTCGTCCAGGAGATGGAATGTGAAGAGTAAAAAAGAATCCTTTCCAAGACAAAACTACTCTTAACTCTCTTGATTGCTTTGCTTAATCATTTTAATTTTGAATGCGTTTGTTTCCTTCATTTTGTTCAGACCAACAGTTGTTGAGTTATAATCCAAGCATCTACAACTGTTTCATCCCTGACATCTTCCAAGATCACCTCCCAAATCTGCAAAAGCTCTGTGCAAGGTCCAGGTTGCCGCCAGTCCCCCCGCGTCACCTCTCCAAACTCCAGTCAGCTCATGGGGAAACRTTTCTTCACTTTGCCAAGTCACACTTGTTTGTGGATGGTAAGAGAAACTGTTATTACCTTTGATCAGGCACCTAATAGGCAATAAATATACTATTGGGCAATGAAGATTTTGGGAAAAAGAGAATGTTTACTTCCAGGAAAAAAAAGTGTGAGAGGGCAAGGAATGGTATCCCTTCGTAGTGATCTCCCAGCTCACAAAGTAAAAACCTGTCTGGTCCTTCAGATATCCTAAGGTGTTTGATAATGGGATTTTTAGTCGTTTTCTTTCCTGGTATTCAAAAATGGCAACATGGAATCATCTGCTGTTGTTATGAAAAGACTTCTTTTTTTTTTTCACTTTCTTTTTCTTTTTTCCTATTGATTATTTGTAACAGACTTTTCAGAAAAAAGATACACTTCTAAAATAAAAGTCAAAATAAAGGCAGAAATCCATTCTGGCCTCCTTGATGAACTGAGATAAAACAAGCCCAGTTTAAGTAGGGCTTTTCAAACTCCTTTTCAATGCACTAAAATAAGAGCCTAATTTCTCACATTGTCTGTTATTCCATAGATATCTACGTGGCATGGGTTGCTCAAGAACTGAAAACACATTTGCTGGTTGAATCCTGGCAGCATTCCGGGCACAGCCTTCCCTCAAACTGCTCTCTCCAGTACCATGTCTACAACATACACACAATAGAGACACCACTGAAATCAACTTTTAATTCCATTAATGATCATTCCAAGTGGTGTGTTTCAAAGAGCCCTGAAGATCAGTGGACCTGCATCGGAGACCTTAACCGTGCTGCTGAACAAGCCTGGAGAAGTGGTGGGTTCATTTGTACACAGAACCAGAACATTTACAAAGCTTTTAGAAACTTGGTAATGCGCTATGAAAGTTGTAATGATTCTTCCACATTGAGATGAATGAACCATCCCTCCCAAGCAGCATAGCCGTTCAGTACACAGAAAAGGTGGAAAACATCTGCTTTAACCTAAGTTTTCATCTGGAAAATGGCCCAGTGAGTTGTCAGATGGATTAGACCTTTGCCTGCTTAGTCACAAAAGCAAATGTTTTACAGGTAAAATACTGTTTCTCCATCATTGCCATATCAGTGAGCACCGCCTAAGCTCTGAGCTCTGCTCTGCTCCTTCCTTGTCTCCTCTCGCCATCAATAAGAGACCCTGCTGCCCAGGCGTGGGTGTCATTGACACTGTGACAAAGGTTTGAATGTTGGGCACAGAYGTCCTCAAGTGGAACTTGCTAAATAATGTTGGATGTGGAATGGCATGAAGAACAAAAATCTCTCTCATTAGGTAGGTTGTTTGGGGCGTGCAGTTAATAGGAGAAAAATACCCTCAAACGCCTTCAAAATCACTACATGGCCCAGATGCTGCTGAGATCCGTGATTGCATTTCTGCTGAGTTTGGGGGAAAAAAGAAAKGAGCTTTAAATCTTGTGTAACCAGTAACTTGATGTGTTTCTAGTGCTTTTATTCATATACAGTAATCATTTTAACAAATAAATATGTCCAAAATATGTCTAAATTAAGAAGGAAATTGTCTGTTTAGAATTTATCTCTTCTATCTGTAGTTATTTGTGGTTGGCTAAAATATCTTCTATCTGCCAAGGAAAAATTATGGAGAAAAAATAGAAAAAAAATGAAAAAAAAAAAAAGAAGAAAAAAAGAAAAAAAATCTTGAAGAAACAAAACTCATGTGTCTCGCCTGCTTAATGAGGAAAATTATGAAGGAATGGGTTTCATGCTTGGTAAATTGATCTGGATCACAGATAAATCTTAGGCAAAGCTAACTGTGCAAATAATGTAGATAGTTTAGATATTTGTCTGAAATAGACCTTTTATTTTTTGTCATGACTGAGTAATATCTGACAAATATTTTGGTTGGTAATTTTTTTTGGTATTTGTCAAATTATTTTACACATATACTTTCCAGTGTTTTACTRGCACGGTCAAGCAACAACTATTTCTGATAGGGAAAGCTGCCAGTGATGCAGAATGATGGGTAGTGGGATGGTCAAGATTGCTCAGGTAAAACCAAGCTAAAACCTCATTTCTCTTGTCCAGCTTTGCAAGGCAGACACTAACCTAACCCATCCAAATCTTATGTCTTGCCCACAACTTGGCATATGCATCATCTTACAGTGCAGGAATGGCAAGAAACCCATTCTGAGAGGCTGCTTGGCTGAAGCCCGTGTTGGTGAATCAAAGACCTGCTTGCCCAGCCTGCATGTCTTACATCAGATGCTCATCCTTGTCATTTGGGTCACAGAGGTCAGCAGCGAGGAAAGTCCCCGTCCCTGGTTTATCTTAGTAGTGTTGTCAGACAATCCTGCTCCCCAAGCTACAGTCTGGCGTTTGACCTTCAAGTCAGAGTCGCTATTCATAATTATCTGATCATTAGATAGTTGTCATAAATCTTCAGAAGAAGATTTACAACATTCCTCCTTCATTAAATCAAAGATAGGTGGCCTCCACTTTGGCTATGGCTGAAGAGGCCTAAACAGGAATGAAAAGGAAGAGAGACACAGCTGTACTTTACAGCAATGCAGTCACCTAAACAGCCAAGCTCTGCACACTCTCATTCCAGTGGTGTAGCAATAAAAAAGCTGCAGTTCTGGTTCTCTCTCTCTCTTTTTTTTTTTTTTTTTTTTGACTGTGAACACTTTTAATTCAGTTTTGCTTTCGTTGTGTAACCGCCGTATTTGCATATCCTAGTATTTCTGTTACAAACACACGAGCAGTTTCTTTGATTCTCAAAAGAGACTTGTGATCAGCTAGACAGCTTCTGGATTTTTAAATGGTTTGCAGCTCTCACTTTTACATATATATTTACATGTGTGTGTGTGTATATATATGTGTGTGTGTGTGTGTACCCAGAGTTTAACTGCACAGTGTGTGGTTATTTTGTGGAAGTGTCTGACACAGAGCGACCCTAGTCTCTGCTCTTTGCTGCCCGCTCAGCCCTTGTGACAGGCAGAATTTCTCTTGCTGAAAGGGCCTTGCCGTTGCTGCCCTCGCCGCGATGCCGCGGGGACGGAGCGCTGAGCAGAAGGGCAGGCAGGAGCCTTGGGCCCCGTCACGGCGCGGGACGAGCCGGGCCCTGCTCCTCGGTGCAGGTAAGGCTCTGCCGACCCTTGGGCTCTGCTCCACTTAAGGAAAACGAGAACATTATTCTAATGAGAATRGTTTGCCGGGGGAGCAGGAGAGGCCCAAAGTACACATTATTAGCCCGCTAAACATCATTGTAATGCAGCCAAGTTTGCAACAGACACAACATGAGAGATTGCTGCTTGGTAGAAACTGCGTTGTGATAATTTACACAAGATGCGAATCTGTCCCRGCATGTCTAACTATCTCACAAATGGCAGGAAATGCAAATAGGAGCCCCTCAAATCACCTGCTTGTCACTCATTCACCCATGAGAGCAGCTCCTACCTGAAGCACAACTAATGTCATCCCAAAGCAAGCAGCTTAACTCCATCTGCCTTTGACCTATCAAAGAGAAACATCATTCCTGAGGATTTTTCCATAACGTTGGTAATTGCAGATGCTTGGGGCAGTGGTCTGCTGCGTCCAAGGGGCGATTTTGCACAGATTTACACGCCATTACAGGGCTAGACACCAGCACCCATAAGAGAAAAACTGCAAAATATTTGAAGGCACAAACATTTAAATGGTGAGATTTCACTCATCTACGATTAAGGAAAACATATATTCCAGTGCTAGTGCATTTTCGAATGCAGCCCTTACGGTGGAATTGCTTGCGGCGTCTGCACGGTGACTGAAATGCCCTGAGACTGGAGCAGGCAGGGCCGAGCAGAGCCAGGGAGGCCCCACAGCGCCCAGCTCCGTGTGAGCCGGGCGCAGTGTCCAGCTCCGTGTGAGCCGGGCGCAGTGTCCAGCTCCGTGTGAGCCGGGCGCAGTGTCCAGCTCCGTGTGAGCCGGGCGCAGTGTCCAGCTCCGTGTGAGCCGGGTGCAGTGTCCAGCTCCGTGTGAGCCGGGCGCAGTGTCCAGCTCCGTGTGAGCCGGGCGCAGTGTCCAGCTCCGTGTGAGCCGGGCGCCTKCCCCTCCTCGGGACGTGCCGGCCTCRCCTGGCGCTTGGCCTCCTCGCGGATGCTCCCAGAGGGACTTCCCAGATACAGAAAGGCAGCGTGAAGGTGAGCTCGGCTGCACAAAAATCCCGGGAAACCTGGAGGTGCCGACTGTCCAGCTGCCAGCAACASCCCCTCACACGTAGCCCTGCACCCCTCTGCTCCCCTCTCTCCTGACCAACTCAACTCCACGTAGTTCTCAGTCCCCCAAAAGAGACATTAGCCACGAGTACATCTAACGTAAGCTTGTCTGCTAAGTTGTGTTTCCTCAGCTCGCCTCTGGTGTGAAAACAGAGGGTTATTTTTGAAAGCCTCTTTTGTCTCTTTCCTCCATTTAAATACATACACCCTGACTCCTGGCAGTGATGAAAAGCTAAAGAAGAACTTTGTGAGAGTTTTCTTTTTTAATGTAGCAAGGCATCCTTTGCGTTATTAGTATAGACACATAATTATCCCCAGAGAAACTTACACCCATGTGTTAACACCCATAAATTATTGTGTGGATCTCTTTTATACCTTTATTTTCAGCTTCTGGGAAAGATACATCACTGAGTACTTAGGAYAGTAATTGGTTTAAAATGCGTAAGCTGCCTATGCCCTGGGTGAAACGTCCACAGGGAGTATTGCAGGCAGCTTCTTTGAAAAGCTCCGAGTAAGCCAAAGCCTAACTGTGCTCACAATATGATGCAAGAACTTGATGCACCTCTTTTATTTCCCAAGAGATTTCTTCAAAAGATGTGGATACTCAACTTGATAGACACAAAGTGAAAAGAATGGGAATGAAGATAAATTAAAATAACAAATACTAGGCCAAAGACAGAAAAAAATATACTCTTTGGCAGCAAGGACTAGATTCTGCACAGGGCAATGCACAACCAGCAGAGCCATGATTTCAAACTGGGATATCAGTATTAGTGTTTTAAAGATACCCTGATAGCCTGAGTTAGCTATAGCTAACACTTCTCTATTTAGATTTGAGATACCAGATTAAAGGCCTATTCTGTTGATTTTTCTAAGAATCCTTCGGAATTTGGCACAAATACCTTATTAAAACACACTACATATCAACTCAGAAATCAGTTGTAGCTATCTTGGCCTCAAACACATATTGTGTATATGCTTCGTTAGATAACTTTTTTTTTAAAGCATGTTCATCATATTCTTATCTCTGTGGTTTTTAATTGATTCATTTCAATATAAAGTGTATGTTACTCTATATTTAATTTTATATGTATTTGATATGTTAATAATTCTGCACCAAGTTAAACACAAAACATAAGGGTTTGAAATACACATCTTGCCTGTTACAGACAGCTGTGTTGCATTTTYACTCAAGTGATTTTAGTAAATCCTCTTGACTTAATTCAATTCTTTTTTTGGTTTAGTTCATTTTAGATTTCTACAGAAGTTACCTGGTGACTGAATCTCCTTTCAGAAACAGTAGAGCCTGTTTCTCCAAGCCATGAATCCCCTTGCAGCTTGGGACCTGCAGATCAGTATCCAAGCATGCAAACTGGCCAGCCTCGCCGGAGCAGAGCACGGGGTAGAGCACTGCAGGTAAGTGTTGGCTGCTGCTGCTGCAGGTCGTGCACTGCAGTACATTTCTATCAGCATTGCTCAATTTATTAACCGTAGAAATCAGGCATGCAAATCAGCCACACAATTCTGCATCATAAAGCATTTACCCCCAAATCTGTCTTCACATGTAGCCATGCTCTCAATTAAGCGTGTCACATTTTAGCAATACACGTTTTATTCATTGCAGTCCAAAAACTGCCAAGAGCTCACTAAAAACCTTATCATCAAATTATAAAATTAGTTCTTGTATTTCTCACTCTTCAAAGCTTGGGACTCAAAGTTCAGGGGTCTTTTTTTTTTTTTGTCTCTCTCTTTTTATGAATCCTTTTCAGACTAAAGTTCCGTCATCCAGAAATCACTTCTAGAAATGTCTGCACTGGTCAGGTTGTCCAGATTATCCGCTCAGCATCACAGACCTCTACTTCATGTCAAGGATTAAAAATGCCTCATTTAGCACACGTTTCAAGAACTGCCTCCTTCCTCGCTCTGGAACCTGTCCCATTTCTCGTACAAATCTTGTGAGTCCCAGGCATCAGGCAAATTAAATCTGCATCTTTTCTTCTCTCACTTTCTAACTACTCCAAATATTTGTCGGAGTAAGATTAGCAAGGTAAACAAGGAGGGCACCAACAATTTTTCTAGACATATTTTGCAGGGAACAAGCATGCATGAAATGTGGCACAGCAGAGACAATTCCTACAGTCGTGTTCCCATCTGCCCACCACCCTTCCTYGTTGTCAAAAGAAAGGAAGGAGCAGAGAAACAGGAGCA